TCCAGTGGTGGTGAAGGAGGATTGAAGGAATAAGATGCGGTGCCCCCACCATTTCACCTGAACTCCATCCCTGCATTATTGCAAGCCCAGCCAAGATGGAATCAACATAAAGCGCCAAACTCAGGTATCATTATTCTTGCTCACATTTTCACGAGCAATTCTGCTCAGAGGTTAATTTTGTGAAACTGAACACCACAAAAATTCCCCCCGTCCCCTAAATTACAACACTTGGTTTTGTTTTGCAGTGTTACAACAACTTACGTCTCACRCTAAAGGTCAAGAGCAAATTAAGGTAAAATTTATACAAAACACAACRATAAGCTCTAGAGAAAGATCAAATGTTTTTACTAACCTCTTAATTTTATCCATGAACACATATGTAGTATATATAAAAACAAAAAACAAGCATGTTCTTTAGTCAAAATATATGTACAAATGTTTCACATACATGAAAAAAGCATGGTATATTTGAGAAAAACTGACWAACATGTTACTCTAAGCTGTAAATAAGAATAAAATGAGCAAAGGAAGTCAATGTGGAATTACAAATAAACACATTGCACATATTTGAAAACACTGAATAAAATAAAATTCTGACTTTTTAAGAAATTCTWACTTAAAGGCACCCATTTCAGTCAGGCAGAAGAAAATGTTGCTGAAAACAGATACAAGTTGAGCTACAGCACTGAAAGCAGAAAGATTAATTATATACAAGTAACAGAGGTGACTAAATGACTAGGCAAAGACACAAGCTGCCATCCATATGTGTTAAAACAAAATTACCCTGTAATCCATACAAAAGGACATTAAAAATGATGGGAACTTTGAGTGAATATTGTTTTAAAAGTGAAAAAACTATAAATAAATTTACATCAAGAAATATTCTGTTTTCTCTTTCATTTACAAAATTTGCACTTTTGGAATTTGAAAATAACAGAATTTGTCAATGAAAAATAAAAAAAGTACTAAATTTTTAAAGAAATACTGAAAATTAAATAGCATTCATAAATCTGAAAATAAAATGAGACCATATTAAACATACATACATATGGTTGATTAAATAAGTTCATTACAACTCTATGACAAAAATTAGGTATACATTTGGGTCATAAGGTTTTGATGCAGAAATAACAGTATAGGAAGAGGATGAGARCTACATGCAGGAATGATCATACGGTTCTTCCCCACTGACCACTGTGCTTGTAAAACTTCAGAGGAGATAACAGGAAACCAGGTTTACCCACTCAATCCGGTGCATGTTTGAATGACTGACCATGTTAAGCTCTTAAAGCAGGCTTTAATCCAGGATTTTAGGAGCAGCGCTAAGTTTGGCCCGTTATCATGGCAAGGCCCAGACCTTACACCGAGTTCAATCACTATGCAGAAGCGCCAGCAGCCAGTCACACAGGCTTCATATGCACCTGGAATGTGCTAATAACTGGTCCTCTGATAATTAAATAAAGCATAAAATGTCTGGGTGTGACTTTCCAATTTGTTCATTTGACTGGATGCTTGATCACAAAACAATACTGAAAATCACGAGTCATTTATATTTTGCTCAACYAGTTGTTTCATCTTTTAATGTGTGCTGGATTCTATGAGGACATACTCAGAGCAATGGCTCTCACAGAGCCTGAGTGACCTCTGTGGCCAACATCAGTGCCAACACCAGTATCTTCCCTCCAGATTTACACAGAGCAGGCCAGAMTGGAGCAGAATGCACAATCCCAGCAATCTCAGCTCTGTCCAAATCTAAACACACTCACACACAGACCACCTCAGCCCAGCAGTCAAAAAACGTGTGCAAACAAACAAATTAAGGGTTGTCAGTGTCTGAGAATGCCTCTGTAAAACCAGCATCATCGTGTTTACGTAAATAAAATAAAAAAAGCATCGTCCAAAACAACAGCGTTGTCACATGTCTGCCGTTGCATGCACACACTTCATACACACGCCAGTCTGGAAGCAGCCATAGGGTTTGGACTCGAAGGCTTTAAGGGCAGAGCACAGGCTTAGGGAAGTGTGTCTGCTTGTTGGCAGAGGGGGGTTATCAAGGGCAGTGTACTGACTTATGGATGTGCCTGCACGAAGAGCCTGATTTATCATCKGACATATGAAAAAATACCAGTGAGGCTGTGGAGAAAAGAAAGGAAATGAAATGAGACTGTTATAACAAAAATGGAGGTGGGGTCGTCATACTAGCATTGTTGCAGGCATCTATTTTGCTCTACATTTTCGTGCACAAAGACTCGGTATGTGGAGGCAGACGTATCGGTTTTAATTAATGTTTCTGCATTTAGTCTGTTTGTGTCATGAGCACAAAAGCTGGATGCATGGCTAACACACGTCAAAAATAGCCCTGTAGAAACATGTGCCACTTCCTGTGTACGATTTAAGAAGGAGCCCAGAATTTAGGTCATCACTGTGTGACAGCTTCCATTTTTGTATACAATGCAGAACTACACAGGACGACACGTAAAAAAATAAATAAACAAATGAATAAATAAAACTAATGTACATCCCAATTAGACAATCTTATTTGCATTATAATAAATTTATTAGAACTTTTTTTGCCGTTTTGAATATGAACGCCATTTGTGAAATAAGCTTTTGCAATAAACTATTTCATTAACTAAACTTTTTTTGTTGTTTTTATTTTTTTACCAGAAATGAACACAGAGAAAATTAACTTTAGAGTCATTTTCGAAAGCTAAAGATTATTTTAAGTGCTGTTTTTGTCTTGAATTGCTTTTAAAATGCATTTGTTATAAATATGCTTCCATAAACATATATCCAAAATGGCCAAATAAACACTGTGATCCTTCTGATTATTTGTTTTCATACACTGCCAAAACGCTGAGTTTATTTTGCTCTGAAAAAAAAAATATCAAAAGCAAACATTGTGAAAGCCAAAACTCACCCGGGTAAAACATGTTTGATATTTTGAACGCTGCCCTTGGAGCCAAGTCAGCTTTCTAAAAGAACAAATTATTCTAGAATCAACACTTGTCAACTCCAGAGAACCACAACTGAAAAATTCAACACTTATTAACACGGTTAGAGTTGCTGTGCGTTGTTTATGTGTGTGTGTGTGTATGCATGTGTGTGTGTGTGTTGGCGAATGTAAGTGAGAAAGCCAATAAGTTAGTGAGAAAGAGAGAGAGAGAGAGAGTCCAAATGATTTCAGCCCTGGAATAAATCACTGTCGCCACAGAAAAAGGCCGACAGCTGTGATGGATGGCTGAAATTTTNGTGCCACAATGGCAGCTACGCTTGGGGAGCAGATGTCCTCGTGAAGGGGTGTAAAGAGGGAGGAGGGCAGGAGGAATGATGGTGTTTGTGGCCAGTGTGTGTGTGTGTGTGTGTTGGCGAATGTAAGTGAGAAAGCCAATAAGTTAGTGAGAAAGAGAGAGAGAGAGAGTCCAAATGATTTCAGCCCTGGAATAAATCACTGTCGCCACAGAAAAAGGCCGACAGCTGTGATGGATGGCTGAAATTTTTGTGTTGATGTCTTTAGTATTGCTGACAATTTGGTAGTCCAGGCTTTTTCACTTTTCCTGCGCTTGTGTGTGGCTAAACACATCTATATGCTGACACCCATACCTATGCAATATTTTGTTCAAAACCCTCAGATTTTTTTTTACAACTTGTACCACACTAATTTTTTTCTGTAATATTAATGTCAAAGTAATGTTCAGTTTTCAGTATTCTTAATAATAATAATAATAATAATAATAATAAATTCTGTCATCAGTGAAACTCTAATCCGTTGTAATACTTCTCAAGTTTTTGAAAAAACTTGATGTTGTAAGCTCAAGTTTTAATCCCAAAGCTGTGGACACCATCTTGTGTGTGCGCGCACCGTGGTCACGTGGTCTTACCATATGCGTGTGCACATGCTCTTATTGGATAGTCGGTCACCACATGACACGGCGTCTGTTTGCTGTTTTTGAAGCTACCACTGTCTGTCAGTGGCATCTTCTCTCTACGTCATCCACGTAAASCGAGGATGAAAAGTCCTTTTCTTTCTTTTTAACTCACCATGACCCATTTCATTCCYAGTGGTATTCCCTCCTCCACTTCAGCGCCACAGAGCAAAGGCTCTACCCCTAAGATTTCTCACACACACACACACACATCATGACACATGCACGCGTACTTCACTTGTCTGCTACTGTAAATATTAGAAATAAAAAAAAATCATGTTTTCTGCTCACAGTGTAGGCTGCACATAAATCTAGAACACCTACAAATAAAGTTATGTAAACAAAAGAACTCTATACACTCTTACGWGCACACATGCTAAATAAAGTGCTAGGCCACTCTATGCCAGCCCCCTCTCCCCCACCCTCCCCTCCACTTCCTTCTGCTCTCACCTGGCAGGATCAAAAACAACACACTTCCCACAAACTTGCAAAGAATCAATACTTTCTGCAGTAAATCAGAAGAGTCACAGCCTCAGTCTCAGCCCCACACTAACTGCACTCAAAGTACTGACAAGTGATGGTGAGCATCCAAAGAGCAAAAAAAAATAAAAAATAAAAATAATAAAAAAATCAAGAAAATTTACTGACCTTACTGTCTTTTTTTTTCCTTTTATCCCTGATGTCCAATCCCCTGTTTATCTTCAGCTGGTCCTCTAACCCTCTGTTCTAAGTAAGTCATGCAGGAGCTTCTTCCTGCTCCTGCTCAGCCCCACGCCACTGTATTAGTCTGATTTCACACTCTGCAGCCTTGCCTCCCGTCCTGAAGGGGACGGTGAATGTGCTTATTTAGAAGCCGGCACACACTACCTGGGCTTGTAGGCAACTGTTTAAAGCACGAGGCAACATCCAGGGTGCATAATACCCCCACCGCCACCATCACCACCACATGCACACATCTTCCTCCTCTCTCATGCACACACACACACACACAGGCTGGTTGACAAGATATGCAATACACACTAGAGCAGAGTGAAACACACACACATGCAAGCCGTCTGTCAGAGGTGTCTCTACCTTGGCTGAGATAGCAGGCAGTGTGAGAGCACACACACAGGCACACTGAGCTGGGCTGGCCGCTCCGTTCTGTCTCCTTCTCTCTAAGTGTTTAGAAGACAATTTCAACAAGGGATTGCTCCCAATCTACTAGGGTGATCCACATGGATGAGTTATAATATGCTTGCCACTCTCTCCCTCTCTTGTACCCCCCCTCCATCTCCTCTTCCTCTGTTCCCTCTCCCTCATCACTCTCTCCCTCTCCCACTCTTTCACTCTTGTGCTTGTTTTTTTTTAGCCTATTATCGAGCCGTCACCGATTTCAGAAGGAAAGCTTTCCCCCTTCTTGGATTCTATTTTTCCCCCTCTCTCTCTCTCTCTCTCTCTCTCTCTCTCTCTCTGTGGATGTGCAGAAGATGGGCCAAAGACTGATTCCACCTGAATGCGTATTAGTAGAATGCATTATTTATTACAAAGCTGCAATCATTCCCCCCCTCCACCGCCACCCCCCAAATATGCCGGTGGACACGCAGGGGGAAGGGAGCAGTGGTGGCGACTGCATCAGCAGCGAAGGGGTGTATTTATGATGTGTGCGCTGAGGGGATATTGGGGTGGGCAGTATAGGGGGCAGGGATAAGGGGTCAGGATTTGGGATAGCGGGGTTCTGATGGGAGGTGAAAAGAACACARACTGAACCATTTTAATTTATTTATTTATTCAGTGGCTGGGATTGCCTTATCATCTAAGGTGCTGCTTAATGACATCACTGCTGGCTCCAAGCTATCCCAAATCACACCGCCACTCATTTTTCATCAAAATGACTTTTAGTGCTGTGTGTGTGTGTGTGTTTGTGTGTGTGTGCATGTGTGATAGTTTGAGAGTGGCAAAGAAAAAGACAGGAGATGGAATATTTAAAAGAARCATAAAAAGGCCCAAATGACATAATGCATGCTGCTTGTAAAGGKAGAATTAAAAATAAACAGTAAAAAAATGTAAGAATATTTACAAACAGAAAGAAGATTAATGTAACTGTGCAATTTATCCTGAAATTACAGAACATTAGTTTTTAATTTCAACAGTATGAATTATTCATAAACTTTGATGAGACAGTTGAATGTTTGTTTGCAAATTTGRTTTTATGAGACTTCGTTTGTTTGAGTTTCAGCAGCTCAAAGTGCAGTTCATATTCTATTTAATTGCCACTAATAATAAAACAAGTTTAATCAATTTCGACACCGATTTACGTTGAACAAAATATTTTAAATGTAGGCCATTGTACAAAATGTTATGTAAAATATTTTAATCTTTTACGTCATTTTTTTCATCAAAAGAATCTAAGTTCTATCAGCTAAAACTAACTACAACCTTCAAAAGACAAACTGACAAAAATATATTTAAAACGTATTTGAAAAATAGTATAACCTTAGCCTTTTTTATTCAGTAATCGTTTATAAATACTCATGAAGATGAAAACAAAGCTCTCAAACTATTTCCGACCTTTTTGGARAGCTTTTGAACTTTTCTCTGATGAAAAAGGAAAGAGTTTGAAAGGGCACTCTAAGATGACATTAAAACAAATAAAAGTTGAAAAAGTTTTTTCAGGTCTAGTGAAAAAATAAATTTTTATTGAGCCTTACACACTGTGTAAAGCATTTGACTTCTCTGTGAGACTAAATACTAAATGTGATAAAAGACTAAAATTCTTGAATAAATAATTTGTTTAAGTCAAAAACAATAAGGAAAATGATACATCTAGAGAAGGAACATGTTGAAAATGCCTGGATAAGCTCAAGTTGTTTTGCTGGTMAACAGGCTTCTGAAATATGCACCCATGGGGGCAAACGACCAAACGGGAGTCATGACTGCGTGGACCCTCAAGACTCTGTCAGCACTATCAACCCTGCCTCTCCCTGACAGCAGGAGAAATAACCCAACAAAAACACAACCACCTGGGACAATCCCACTGCTAAATGTTCTGCTGTGGACCCCGAGGGGTCACCACATTTAACATGAACACATTTAAACCCACCCAAAACTGTAAACAAAATACATTTAACAACCACACAAAAAATGTGCAAAATCACTTTGATTAAATGAAAATCTTGTTCTGTCACCAGCTGTCTGTCGCACGGCCCGGTTTTCATTCAAAGGATCTGCTTCACCTGAAAAAGGAAATGACCCAAAGTTCAGCCGAATCACTGATGCACCAACTTCAGTAGAACTGAAAAACTCACACCATTGGTATTAACAGTCTATTTCAATCATTTTAATACGATCGTAACTGTAAAAAAATAAAATTTTTATTAATTTTAAAAGTCGTGAGATTTTTTTCATTTCCTTTGCTTTTAACTGTCTTAAATAAAGAGACAGAGCAGAAGGAGGGTGAATCATATTTTACAAGAAAAAAAGGTAATGTCTGACCCTTCCACTCCTGTGACTGCACTGCTCCACCGCACATCTTTTAAGTTACAAAACTATTATTGAGTGATCCCATTTAACTAATTTACCCAACTGTCGTGTATTTTCCTTGACCTCTCCCCCTTCATCTGACCGCTGAGGCATCCTGCCCTCCGGTGCTCCACTTGCCTCGCTCTTTGCTCATTCATAACCCAGACATACCACCATAAAACATCACTAAACACTCTTAAGAGTTAATGTTTCCTTCTCTTCTCCCCTGTTTTTCAACTTTCAATTTTCTTGAATAGCATTGTAATGTTTTATTAATATCTTTGAATTATTACTCATTTTCCTCTTAAATGGAGTGCTTTAATTCACATTTGAAGTACTCATCAAGGCTGAGCAGTGAAATGAATGTGGAAGGATGCATTATAGTTGCAAAAAATGCAAAGGGTGAATTAAAAATATATAGCAATACTGAAATATTAAYTATTAATTTCAAAAAGATAATTTGCCAAGGAGAAAAAAAACCTTTTCATTACTTTCAAGACTTTTCTTCCTTTTTCTAAATGTACTTGAATGTGGGGCCTGCACAATATGTAATTATAGTGTACCTGTGTGTCAAATAAAATTTTTACAAAAAGAAAAAAAAGAAAAATGTTCGGTTTTCAGTATGAKAAAGGTCATTGTGTATTTGCTTTCATAAAATCTGAATATAAAGAAGGAGTTGGTGAAGTGCGATGTGGGTGATTCACAGTAAAATGTGTGTTTTGTTCTGTATCAGATGAGGTTCAGTCATCAAAAAAAACTACAAAAATATAAATCAATAAATAAATTAAAAGTCAAAATCCAATCCTAACATGAACTGCCTCATGTTCACTTTATGGTTTATTTTTCTCTTTACAAGAGGGAACTCTAATTCCCATGATCACCCTTGAAAGCATGACCTTGTGCTGTGTGACAGGAGATAGCCGCAGCATGAAGACAGGACGCCACTTATCATCAAGGGACGAGGTGGCTGTTTAATTTCACACCACCAGTGGCTAAAACCCCTGCTCGTGTGGAGTGCCACAATGGCAGCTACGCTTGGGGAGCAGATGTCCTCGTGAAGGGGTGTAAAGAGGGAGGAGGGCAGGAGGAATGATGGTGTTTGTGGCCAGCGTGTGTGTGTGTGTGTGTTGGACGGGGTGGGGGGTTCTGTGTGTTGTACTGTCATCGTGTATTGTACTCGGAGCACAGTCTGACACCACGCACATGCCCAGTGAAACAGCGCCTCTGTCTTTCATGAACGCAAAAACAGCAGCAGGAAACACACACACACACACACACACACACACACACACACACACACACACACACACACACACACACACACACGTGGTCATAGAGTGGCGTTTGTTTGTGCTCACGGGCTTTGACTAAAGGTTGCGGTGCACAGAGTGGACCAGGAGAAGACGAGGCGCAATCAAAGGCACAAATACGATGGTGAGTTTTCTACTGATGCCAAAAACCAGCGAGACTCCCAGCTGATCCACAAAGTGCTCTCCATTGTCTGCAGTCATGAACTTGAGCTCTGGCTTTCAACCCAGAGGTCTGTCTGTCTCATCTGAGCACACCCCTGTGCCCCCCCGCCTTCACAGCCGTTCACTCAGACTGGACACACACACACACACACACACACACACGTGCACGTAAACATGATGCCCACTCTTAAGCTGACGCCTGACATGACCGCCGGCTCCAGCAATGACCAGCGAATCCCAACTCAGTTGAATATAAAACACAGTAATGAGCGGGGCAAGAAAATGGCTTCCCTATCAAACATGGCTGCTCACTGACGGCCAGACAGAAGCAGGGAGAAAAAGGTCACCTCTCTCATCTTTTAGTATGCACCCCTCCCTCCCCCAACACATCTCTATTGCAGTGCTGTTTTTTTTTTCTTATTTTTTCTATAGAACACTCTCACCCCCCCCCCCCCTTACATGCACAAACACATCCACACGTTTTCATCTCAAGACACCACCGCCCCCCTTCACTAGCACCTTGTGTTTTCCTTCTTCTTCCCTGGTCATTTTCCTTGTTCCATTCTGTATGTGGATGTGGACTTATTATTCAGGAGACAATGAAAGGCGGGTGGAAAAAGACAGGTGGCTGCATCAGAGTGATGAGAAAATTACAAAAGTGCAATCCAGCTTCTGAGAAAACTCTTTCAAGGAACGAAAATGCTAAAAAAAAACTGAGGGGGGGAAGAAAAATAACTGTGCCCCATTTTTTTCTGTCTTTTGGTACAGCTCAGCAGGAAAAGAAGTAGCTCCCACATTCATCCCTTCCCCAGCATGATTTCAAACCTCCTCTGAGTGCCACAGTCCAGTCAGTTATACACATTTTTCCTGTTACACCCCCGCTGTCATTTTTCTCCATTTCCTCCATCAGTTGGTTGCTCACAAAAATGCTTTTTGACTGCTTGATTTCTATTTTCATAATATCAGAACATCAAGTTTAAAGATTATAAATGTTTATTCAGCAGAGAGAGGAAACGCCGGCGCATGGGTGCAGTGACTCTTGGGGGTGAGAGACCCATGCTAAATCAGTAAATCACTGGATCTGGAAGATGAACGGCATGTTTCGGAGTTCATTGCCTTTCGTCTCGGGCGACTGGTTGGTGCAGTGGCAGGCCCAGCAGGCTGTGGTGGATGGTTACAGAGGGATAATGAAGCAACGACAGACCGGGGGTTTGGCCATGTTCTGTTTGCCCCGTCCACCAACTGTGAAAGGACCATTGCCGAATGTGAC